TCAAAGATTAGAAATGATATATTTATTATTGAAATTAATGATTTCATTAATTGAATAAGTACCAAAATCAAAGAAAGTGTCAGAGGTCTTTTACCCTAGTACAAAAAATTAAGTATGAATTCTGTTTTTGTCAAAAAATTATGAAATCTTAAAATTTTGGGTTAAATATTTAAAGATACGAAAAAATCATAACTAACATTTTTTGTAAAAAATTGAATTTCCTATTTCAAAGGTCCTTATTAATTTTTCTCTATCTCTTATCAGTTAGCCTAAAATTTGAATTAAAAATTTTCTTCAACAGTATTTAATTAAACCACGTGTTTATAAAATTATATATTGAAATTCTGAGCTAAATACTGAAGATACGAAAAAATCATACCTATTATTCTAATTTAATTTTCTATCAAAAAGGCCCTTATCAGTTTCTCCGTATCTTTCATTCTTCAGCCAGAATTTGAACTCAAACATATCTTCAGTTTGAATTTTTTATAAAAATTTTAGGCACAAAAAAACCCATCAAATTAATTACCTGCGAGGCATCAAAACAATTCCCCGGATTGCAAAAGTAGTAGAAACACTCAGCAAGCAGATCATAAGCCAAAAACAAAATTGCCGAATTCTGACCCAATTCCAGCGTGTGAATTCATAATCTTTGGGAGTTTTCGGCATTACCAACTGAATAGCGTTCCCCCCAACAAGTGGGGGCTTGCCGCCATTTTCTTGACTGCAGAACTGTAACACACCGCCATTTTGTCATCATCAGTCCCAAGTAACTCAAAAAGGTACATAATATCCTATTAAATATCACAAATTTAACTAAATATTTAATAAAATAAATAAACTTACAATAGCTTGAGCATCAGGCGCCAAATGTTGGTACGCTGTATTTAATTGCGTCAACAATTGAGTGCAAACTGGTTCCTTATTGAGACTCTGCTCACTGCAGGTGCTGTTACTGGAGGACTCAACCATTGGATCCCTGGAGCTGGACTCTGTTTAGAAAAACCCAGCAAATTAAGAAGAAATGTCTGGTCTAGCAACAATAAGACGCCAATAAATAAAAAGGTCAATTGAATTGACTTCAATTAGATTCAATTAGCTCACCATCGTTCATTTTATTGTTGTTACTGTTGACGACGCTGTTCATGAAAGCTTTGATCCCGCTTTCGGAATTCAAGCTGCTCAACACAGCTGGTACTGAAGTAACGTCTCCAGACTGGATC